AAGATGTTCTTCTGTCAGAAGGCTCTGTCCTCTGTTCAGGAGGAAATATTTCCAGAAGTCTTTCTTATAGCCCCTGAAGTCAGGAATGGATCATGTGCGTGCTCCTAGTTACAAGGAAGTCTGTAAAAGTATCTCTCTTCTAAGCCTCTAATTGAACTCAGCCTCCTCTTTTGTATGAACTGGAGTGAAAGTGTGTCCTGTTGATTTTACCTCCTAAATCTCTCTGGCATAAATCTCATTCTCCTCAGTGGTGAAAGAATCTGCCTGGCAATGCAGGAGACACAGGAGATAGGAGTTCATTCCCTGGGTTGGGATGATCCCCTGGAGGAGGAAATGGCAACCCACTTCAGTATTCTTACCTGGAGAATTCAATGGACAGAGGAGCCTGGTGGGCTACAGTCCATGGGGTTGTAAAAAGTGGAACACAACTAAATAGAGTGATTGAGCATGCACACATTCTCCTCTCATGCACACCATCCCCACTTCCAGCACTCTCCCATCAGCCATCAAAATATCCCACCCGAAGTATTCCACCAGTTCCTACCTGGTTTTCCCATAGCCCCATATTGTCCCCTCTTCCATCTACTCTGTACAGCTTCAGTGATATTTTAAATGCAAATCTTACCATGTTATTTTCCCTTTGATGAATTATGTTCAAAAATCCTACAAGTGACAAGGTCCTGAATGGTCTGCTCACACCCACCTTTCTAGCTTTGTCTCTTGCAGTGCTTCAGCTCACTTTACACTCAGATCACACTGGCCTCTTCACTCCTTAAAAACCCTAAGCTACATCACAGCTCACGGTTTTTGTGTGTGCTCTTCCCTCTAACTGAAGTGATCACCCATTCTCTATCTCCCTAGTCCCTTCTACCTCATTTCTTCTTAGTTCTCAGGTCTCCATTTTAATGTTTTTACTGCACTCAAGGGTTATGTGTAAGGTGTTATCAAACCAATGAAACATAGAAGTATTCAAAAAGTTGTTCAACACAAACGGGAGGGATGTAAGAGACTGAACTTGTTTAATTTCAGCAGTTGGATGTTGATCTATTAAGAAAATGCTGACCCTCTGTTCAGTCATGCTAGATGAGGAGCCTTTTGGCAAGACTCATTTTCTTTTCCTAAATGTGTTTTTTCATTTCACTCATTTGATCAACAAACAACATAGTAACCCAGCTCTACCACTTTCGAGTGGTGAGGGTTCCTCGGACAGGGCCTTCTTCCTTGGTACAGTGTCTTCTCTGTAACAGAATGGGACTATGACAACTTGTCCAGTCCTCCTCTCACAGTTGGTGGCTTATCTTTGTTCTATTCTGGTGCTGGGATTGCAAGTTTCCTCTCTAAAATTACTTACAATAAATATACGAAAATGCATCACTTTCAAATACATGCTGCTGTGGTTATCATTTTAAAAATCCAAGAATGCTAAACTAAGAAGTTAAAAATATAAAGTATTTGTATTTTTACCATATTTCATACATTGAAACCACCTATAAGAATTTCTATTCATTCCAAATTTTACGTTATGGAATACCGAGGTATCATGTCCTGTTCTGCTACTGTCACCCCTTCAGAAAGTCCTCAGAACCAACATGCTAGGATGTCAGCTGCCCCAGTCCTTCAGAGATGTTATACACCGAGCTCACGGAGCAGCAAAACAGTTCTTTGGAAAAGAAATGCATCCTGGGAGATGAAGCCGGTTGCAACTCTGCCTTTATTAGTGAAAATTCCCGATGTCAAAGCCTTTCTGTCCAGGTAACAAAAACCACCCATTTGTTCCTGGGAACAAAAGCCTCCTGAAACTTGACCGACAATGGGCAGGTTCACTTGACTGACAATGGGCAGGTTCACTTGACTTCCAACTCTGGGCTGGATTTGTACTCCCCGAGTGCAGTGGCGGTCCACGGACTTCCAGACCCGAGAAGAGGTAATTCCCATGCTCAGTGAGTCGTGCTAAGAGCCCGACACTGAGAGGCAAGCTGTGGTATAAGGTGCCGACGAGACCCCCGGAAGCCGGAGTCAGATCTCCGGGGTACAAATCCAGCTCTACCAGGTACCAGCCGTGCAACTTTGGGCAACCCTTTACCTTTCACAGCTAAGTTCTCCTCTCCTGTCAACTGAGGATAATCATAGTTCTTACCTCCTAGGGTTGCTGGGAGGAGGAGTAAATGAGTTAATCCACAGAAAGCGCTTGGAACAGCGCCTGGCTAGCACATAACGAACTTGTTAATGTTACAGTCTTTCGACTCAGGGCGCCTGCAGCTCTGCAATATTTTGCCTGAGAGTTACAAAACTTGAGATTCCAGGAGCTGAGTTGCCACAGCCTGAGAACCGGAGAGTAAAGGAAAAAAATTGGGGTAGGGTCAGAGGGAGAACTGCGACGACTTTTGTCCACCGGCGCCCACCTGCAGCCTTGATCTCCCGGCCTCCGTTTCTCCTTCCAGGAGTCCGGCTCCGGAACGGCGCACACAGCCTTTCTCCAATCAGACATCCTAAGGCTGGCGCCACGTATGCGACCTGGTCCAATCTCGTCCCTGGAGGGCGGGAACGCGAACTTTCTACCTGCACCTGTGGCTGCAGTGGCCGCCTCCTGGGTTGTTTTTTTTTTTCTTTCTTTCTTTCTTTCTTTCTTTCTTTCTTCCCGCTGCCCCGGAGTTCTGGTTTCCAGAATCACTTGGCGAATAACCAGCAGGTGGGCAGATACCTTCTCCCGCGCTGGACCGACGCGGTAGGGAGGTTCAATGCGTCGTAGTGAGCAGTTGAGGTTCCATCTTCCGACCGCTCCCGGGCGGTGCTACCAGGGAAAAGGGACGCGTCCGAGAATGAAAGACTACTAGGCGGGAGAGCTTGCCTGACCATTCACCTGGGGCAGTGAGCCTGGCACCCACTCACCGCCGGGCCCTCCAGCCGGATCCAACCACACTTGGAGCTCCGGGCTACTGTCGCCGCTGCGCCAGGAAATCGGAGGCGCCAGGGGAGACCAGCTGCAGCAATCGGCTTAGCTGGACTGCAGCGATTTCGGCTGGCACACCTTTCAGAAAGAAGCCCGACCTCTCCAAGACCGCACAGAGGGACGCCGCGCCCCGACTTCCAGATTAACCCAAGCGCACGCACTCCCGACTCTGCCCCGGGGAGAGAGGCGCGGAGCCACGGGATCCAGGGAAGCCTGAGCAGGTGAGCGATGGGTGATTCTCCGTCCTCCAAGCCAGAGCTTATTCCGGGGTGTCACCCTGGGGAGCTCCCCCAGCTCCCGAGGAGAAGTTGTTAGAAGCAGGCGTTCTGCGTAATCTGCAATCCTTTCCGTGAGCAATACGTGCATAGCCCTTCTGTGCATACAAAGTTGATTGTGGAGAAGACAGCGTAGGGTAGAAGACAGAAAGCAGCATCAGAATAGCCACCACTATCACCACCACCACCATCAGTGAACAACTTGGGGGTGCTTTTCCCATCTATAAAGTGGAGGGAGAATGGATGTTTGCAAACCCGTTGCAAACTGTGCCAGAGGGTGTGGGTGCCTTCAGCAGGGAAACAACTTTTGGCCATTTTTTTCTTCTATTGTTTTCAAGTCGCAGCCCGAGTGTGCCCTCGGGGAGTCTTGGGGAGGAACCGCTGCCAAGGTCTCCCAGCTCAGCCGAGGCCGCGGCTGCCTCTGGCGTAGGCGTTCGGGTTCTCTCTCTCGGGGTTTAGGGAGGAGAGCTTCTAACCACAAACACCGCCGAAGTTTCGCTCTCCAGCGCCGGCGAATCCCAGGAGTGTCGCGCGCGTGGGATGGGAAGCAGCCCAGCGGAAACCTGGAAATGAGCCGCGGCGCCAGCGAATCCTACTCATTCGTGGAGTTAGTGCGGTGTAGACCCAGCACAGAAAGTGGGCCGAGAAGTCTCGCTTCTGATATTCGCACCTTAAGTGCTAGTAACACTTTTTGCCTTTTCGTTCCGCTGTGTGCTGTTTTAAAAGATGGGAGGAGGGCAGATTGGAGTTCCGTTGTGCGCCCTCTCCTTTGGAGGGGGGAATTGCGCAAGAACAGGAGCCTTTAATTTGAACTAAAAATCCCGAGTTGAGTTGCCTAGTACACACAGACTCGGTGCATATTTTAATACAGAACTAAGGAAAGAGGTACTTGGGCTCATCTCAACTGCCGACCGGGGGTGGCTTCAAAGAGACGCAAGATTGGTCTTTGGGGAATAAAAGGAAGAGTAGGACGGCGGTTTTCAAGGGAAGTCTAGACATGCTTCTCTGAAAGTCACAAGGCAGACGTTTTGTCAAAAGCAGAATTTAAAAGAAACAAAACAGAACACCACGAGCTTGTCTCTCGCCCTTGCTGGTCTGTAAATCCCCAGCCCCCGCCCTCGAAAAATGACATCGAAAAAGTATCCCGGGACCAAAGTCGAGGGAGCAAAAACCTTTGAGGGAAATTTCGGAACTGTCTGCGGTCTACTGTTCGTGCTCACCTACAGCGGGGACGCGCTTGCGTCCGGGCGCCCTCCTCCCACCTGTCGTTCTGGACCGGGTGGGTCACCTTTGGGTGTCGTTTACAATGGGGCAGACTGACAGGACGGGCCTTTTTTCCTTCCAGGGTCTGGTTAATCCAGAAGCCCCGGCACCCACCCCTGGGTGGCCCTCGAGCGTGGACCACTGCCCTATCCTGGAAGCCGGGGAGCACCAAGACTCTGTCTCCAGACCAGAAGGCGGCGCCGGGGAGGAGGTTTGTCTCCCTGCGCTCTGGGGGGCGCGGCAAGGCGCTCTGAAAGCTGCGGACCATCCGACCCCAGCCGATCCGGTGCCCGCCAGAGCACAGGAGAGGAAGTGGGATTGGGGCGCACGTGACTTCGACAAACCCAGTAACCAAGTTTTGTTTTCTTCCCCAGCACAAGCCGCTGGCCTCTGCTCCCAGCCCGCAGCCCGCTCGCGAGAGGCCGGGGCAGGGTCGGGTGGACCCAAGAGCAGCTGCTGCCGCCAAGGCCCTTCCCCGCGCCCCGCGCCCAGCGTCCCTCGGCCGGCCTGCTATGGCCGACGGCGGCGGCACCAGCAGCTCGGGCTCCTGGTGGAATTCGCTAACGAACAGCAGGAAGAAAAACAAGGAGGCCGCCGTGGGTGCGCAGCCGCCAGCCCAGCCTGCCTCCGGGGAACCCGCGCCGCCCGTCCAGGACTGGACGAGCAGTTCCCGGGAGAATCAGCACCCCAGTCTCCTCGGGGGCGCCGGCGAGCCCCACAAGCTAGACAAGTTGGGCGGGGAGAAATCGGGCAACAGCCGCCGAAATTTGAAGATCTCGCGCTCAGGCCGCTTTAAGGAGAAAAGAAAAGTGCGCGCCACTCTACTCCCCGAGGGAGTCAGGTCCTCGGAGGAAGCCAGCTTCCCTGGTGACCCCCACGACGACAAGCAATAGCCCAAGAGCTCCAGGACTCTCTTCCCATCACACCTCCTCAGTCCCCAGTTCTAAACCCGAGAATTCTGACCCTCCCTGTACGTGGAGTCTCATCCCACCAAATTCAGAATATTCGCAACAGGCCTCCAGATTTTATTGTCCTGGAAACTGACGTGACAATTGAGTGTTCCGGTAGTTCACGACTCAAGGATGCATTAAATATTTATTCGTGGTAAGAGAAGATACCACAGAGGAATCTTGTATAATTTTTTTTTCTGAAAAACTTACGTGGCTTTTGCGTCCCCCATGGAAATGAGAAGGGTACTTCTCTAAGAGACCTTAACTCAACTGAAACTGTGCAGCCTTCCAGCAAGGATGGCATGCTCTGATTCTGGACTTGCTATTGGAAAGCAAATCCCAGTGCTATCTTTAATGAGAAATAAAAGAAATGCACTTTGGGAATATTTCTTCAGGCTTATACCTTAAGTGAAGGGATGGCAGAGAGCAGGAATCATTCTTAAGTAGAAGCATTTTAAATAAGGCAAGATTGTTTTTAATGTTGACCTGCTAAACTGTACTGCCTATTTTAGCGAGGACTATTAAAACTGTTGCACTGTAAGACTTAAGGTGACTTGTGTATTTTTTTCCATTGCAAGACTGAAACCCATCATACTTAAAAGCAGGTATGCAAAACCCAAAGTGACAGAGTTAATCATTTGCTACATAACCTGAGAGCTCCTCTCAAAAAACTGCAGAGAGGAGAACATGTCTAGAAACTACCAACACCCAAACTGGAATCAGTTAGCTGGATATTCCTATTTATCAACCAGATTGGAGGAAAAGAGGGAGAGGTGTCAACTCATTATTCCTACATTTTCTTTTTTACTTCAGTGCATCTTCATAAGGTAGAATAAGTCACTATGCTAATAACAGCTCTTTTAAGTATCTGTTATTAACCTGACTCACAATTATCTAAAAATACTTATTCAAACAGGTGGACTGAACTCTTAAGTTTGTGCAGAGCCAGCTTTCTTCCCCCACTCACTTTGCTTTAAAAGCTAATTTCTTTATTCTACAGTATGAATTTATCTAGTTGCAAAGCCTTAAAGATCTACCAACCTGAAGATTTTTAACAAAAATCTACCTGTTTACTTTTGTTACAAACTTTAAGTAAAAGAGTAAATGAATACCACTAGCTTCCAGCAAATTATAAGAGCGTTATTGTAGTTAAGATCCCCTGGGACCTTTTCCCACCACAATCCAGCTCATTTATAAACATCTAGAAATGCAAGGGGGCTTCCCAGGTGACTCAGTGATAAAGAATCTGCCTGCCAATGCAGGAGGCACAGGAGACAGGATTTGATCCCTGGGCTGGGAAGATCCCCTGGAGGAGGGAATGGCAACCCACTCCAGTATTCTTGCTGGAAAATCCCATGGACATAGAATTGTGGGGGGCTATAATCCATGGGGTTGTAAAGAGTCGGACACAATTGAGCATGCACACACCCCCAAGAAATGCATAGCAGGGAAATTATAATGATCAAAGTATATATATAAATATATACATAATGCGGATAATGAGAGACAAGAGCTTGATTGGAGCTTCTGAATTTATTATATACAGTTTTTTGTTCTCTCAAATTCGTAACTTATAACAAAGCATGTTGATTGTCTAAAGAGATTTAACAAAGAAATGTGATGAAAATGGCTTAAGTGGATTTAAATTAGTGAATCAAGCTTGGATATCAGCAAAGTCATAGAGTGTACCATTTGATCCATGAGCACATAACTAAAAACTTAATCCAAAAGAAACTGTTTTCGTGGGGATTATGAACGCCTTACCTTCTTAAAAGGGAGTTTGTGAGGTGGTTTTCTTTTTTTTTAATCATGAAGTTTTTTTTGGTTTTATATTTGGTACTTGACCAACGTCTCATCGGGGTGAGCTTTCTGAATGAGGAGGACATTACAACAATTTTAAGAGGGCCTACCTAGTGGCTCAGATGGTAAAAAGTGCCCACAATGCAGGAGACCTGGGTTCAATCCCCCGGTCAGGAAGAGTCCCCTGGGGAAAAAAAATGGCTACCCACTCCAGTATTCTTGCCTGGAAAATCCCATGGATGGAAGAGCCTGGTGGGCTATACCCCATGGCATTGCAAAGAGTCGGACACGACTGAGCGACTAACAAGCACATACACACACCTACCGCCTCTAGACTTTAATGAAGATGAGGGAGTCAGGATCTTAAACCCACAGAAGTTCATTGTAAGGGAGGAGATTGGGAGCTGACCAGCAGTGGGAGTGAACAGAGCAGAAACTGTCAAATCAGGCTTTGAAATACCTTCATAAAATATTTTAACTTCTGTAAGTAATCAAAATTAGAGTGGATAACTACCCAAAATGCTTTTCTCCTCCTAAGAAGACCAATAGATTAGATCTGTACCCATTTATAAAATTAAGCTGGCCATTGTATACTTTTAAAATCTTATACTAACTTTCATCCATAGTTTTAATGTTTTAAAGAACTTTTTTTCTTAAAAATTCCTTTAATTCACAAAACATTGGCATTTTCCCAGGTTCTGTGTCTAGTTTTGGACCCCACGGAAGTCTATAATTGCCACAGATAATCAATATCAGACATATAGCAGTGGAACTTATTAACAGAACATCCTTCCCCACAGTTCTGAAAGAATTTAAAACCATGCTAATGGCAGTTATGACAATGAGTGCAATGTACAATTGTCAGTTGAGGTTTGTAATTACATAGTTTTAAAGCAGTCCTAATTATGCAGTGGGAGGAATTCACTGATTTAATCCCAACTCGGAGAAATAGAAACCAAGCAAAATTGGTGAGATACAAAGATCATGAGTAAGATGAGATAATTTGACAAAGTGTCTTTGCTGGGATTCATGTGCTCTGCAGATGATTAATTACATTCCCATAACATATATACAGATTTTGAAAATGTGTAAACTTCAAGATATTTTATATTAAATAAAGGGAAAATGTTTAAGTTTGGAGTTAATTAGGTTAGAGACCTTTGTTCTCTTAAAGCCCTTGGCAAATGAAATTTCACTCACAAGTTTGGAAAAAATTAAAGAAATTCTCATGCCATGCTTTCAAATTATGTGGAAAAAAGGGACAATAATCTAGCAGTGTGTTTGCTAAGTATTTTCATAACCACAATAATTATTAATATATACACAAGGTAGTTTTGGTCCCAGTGACTGCCCTTGCAGTCGGTGGCCAAGCTGTAACTCATATTACAGGTCATTGAAAGTCCTTTTATGTTCCTGCTCTGTTGGTCACCCCATTGTGACTTGCATTTCAAAAGCAGAGACTCTGTTTTGTATTCACTTAGGACATTCTGGTTTATCTAACACTTAGAAATAATTTTTTCTGCTTTGAAATGTAATGCAAACCCAGAATGCTGATATTGCTGAGTCCTTAGAAGGGAACTAAAAACTTAATGAACAGTAAGTTTGAAGGCTGGAGCTTTGTCAGATAAATAAATAATAAAAATAGGCAGAAATAATTTCAAGTAAAAGGCTAACTGGAGGGATTTTTTGGTGGTCCAGTGGCTAAGACTCCCTGCTCCCAACGTAGGGTGCCCAGGTTCGATCCTGGGTCGGGGGAATAAGATCCCACAGGCCACAGCTAAGACTCAGCACAGGCACACAATAAATAAATAATTTTTTTTAAGGTGAACCAGAAAGGAATAAAAGGGGAAAGTGGGGCAGTTAATATCCAGTGATCACAAGGCACATTTTATGAGGAAAAGAGAGAATATTATTTTTCCTTAGCTGAGAAGAGTCACCAGACCAGAAACAAACACAAAAAGCTGGCTTGATAATGTAAGGGTAAGTAATCTTTAAAAACTCTATTTTACCTGTGGAGCATTTTATGATAATTACACAGAAATGTAAGAGATTCATGGGATAAGCATGAGTTATTATGTCCACAGTAAGTAGAGAATGAGACTAGAGATTTTTATACCCTTGGGTGTCAGTATAATACATATCTTAGAATAGAAACAAGTGTGCAGCCCAGAACAAACTTTGTCATCAATAAGCTGGCTGTCCCATCATAGCTTTGTTCTTCTCATTTGTTTTCTATTTCTCTAGCCCCATTCACCTTGCCTCAGAGCCATGGCAAGTACATTCCTATCAGGCTCAGAAATGTGGAAGAGGGATTGCTAGGAGGCACAGGGCCCTCCCCCAGCCTCCTGCAGGCATGGCATGTCAACAACCACTTTGTTGAAGGATGGCCCTGCATATGGGATGAAAAGCATTCGTGGTGAGAGAAGATTATCATTTAGGAGACAAGGTTCTAAGAAAACTTCACAGGTCTTGCCCTAGCAGAGGACAGCTGACCACTGTATAGACGTGGTAGTAGCATGCATGCATGCTAAGTTCCTTCAGTCATGTCTGACTCTCTGTGACCCTATGGACTATAGCCAGCCAGGCTCATCGTCCATGGATTCTCTAGACAAGAATACTGGAGTAGGTTACCATGCCATCCTCCAGGGGATCTTCCAGACCCAGGGATGGAACCCATGTCTCTTATGTCTCTCTCCTGCATTGGCAGGCAAGTTCTTTACCACTAGAGCCAACTGGGAAGCCTAGTAGTAGCTATAAACAGTGATAAATAACAAAGACAAAGGATATCAGTGATACTTCCAGGTATTCAAAACAAAGAATTCAGCCATTCTTCCAAACCAAATTGTGCTGCAGATGACAAAGTGACAGATTCGTAACTATCATATCAGAGTTGCTGACATAACCTCATGCAGTTTAAAAAAAAAAGGAGTATCTTTATTGTTGGCATCTGTAATAAGACTGCTTACCCACAAGACAAAAATTTCTGGCCCTTAAACTAGAAAGATTCATGTTGAAGAAGATGAAGATTCCTATCTACCCCTGAAAGGAACTACTGATTGACCTGCTGGTTGAGTAAGGAATACAGGCCCATCTGGGACCTCCCTATGGTTTTTTGAAAGGATATCCCTTGAGTTACAAGTACC